TCTGATGGTGTTGGTTGTGTTTTAACATAATCATTATTTCACAATCATTTGACCTCAATCACTGAACTTATATTAAACCGAATTTCTGAGATAAGTTTACCTTACGAATGATAGCAGCACTGTCATTGTAGAGCTTACTATTTTTAGACTTTTCAATGAAATTTAAATGATCAAATCAATAAATAAAAAAGAAACTTCCTAAAAAAATATTTTGAGTATAGGCACACACAGACATCAAGAATCAGCCTGTGAATCTCAACAATGGTGACAATTATAAAGCATGTTGCAGTGCATTCTGGGTGCCACCAATCAAAACTCATTCATGGCTCCCATCATGCATTGCTGCATGAATAAATAATGAGCTTATGATCTGTTTGTCACCATTGCTGAGATTCATATGCTGATTCTTGATGTCTGTGTGTGCCTACTCAGGATATTTTTTAAGAAGTTTATTTTTTATTTCTTGATTTGATCATTTGAATTTTTTTGAAAAGGCTAAAAATAGTATGCTCTACAATGACAGTAAGGTAAACTTAACTCAGAAATTGGGTTCAATATAAGTTCAGTGATTGAGGTCAAATGATTGTGAAATAATGATTATGTTAAATCACAACCAACACCATCAGATCTCCTAACATTGTTCATCCGGCTGTTATAACTCATGTACAGCAACCAAACAAAATCTAAAGTTAATAAGTTAATGGTCAAGAGCCCAACTAAAACACACACTTATCTGCATAATGGTGACTTAAACAGTCTGATTTTCTCCTTCAGAGATTCTACTTGTTAACATCAGGTGTCTTCAATAATGCTCAATCATCACTCAATTATTCACTTAATTAACTCATTAGCTCAATCATCACTCAATTATTCACTTAATTAACTCATTAGCTCAGAGTTTAATTGGGTCGCTTAAAATGACCAAATTCCATGATGTTGAAGTTACATGAACATATTATGTTTGTTTAACGAAACATAGTTATGTGGAACCGGTGGAACCTGTTTACATAAAAAAGTTAAGTAAAGCCAACATATCATTTTTTTGGAGTGTTTGCAATCACTGGAATAAATTACATTTAAAAATATATTTACTGTTTAAACTATATTACTGTTTTGCTGTAATATGTTTAAATAAATGCAGCCTTGGTGGGCATGAGAGACTACATTAAAAAAATCTCACCAACCCTCCAATCTAATAATGAGTGTTTTCATTGTGTCCAGGCAACACTGCAGATAATCCAAACACAAACAGGTGTTCATCAGGGAAGGAAACCAATAAGGAATCTGAAATAACTTAAAAAGACAGAGACTGATCACTTTCCAGACTTCTCAGGACAATAAAGGACCCTGATGCACTGAGTAAAATATTTGGGTGGAATATGTTGTAAAGACAACAACAGAGCAGTTTGTTCTGGATAACAGCACCTTCCACATGAGTCAAAATAATAATATTTGGTCTTCATTTAATCACCCTCACGTTGTTCCAAACCCGTATGACCTTATGTCTCTTACGGAAAACACAGGGTGAACTGTATTCTTAAATCTGACCACTTCTCTTCATGCAATGCATTTACAGCATGCAGCAGATGCTATTTTCCCGAACAAATAGCACTGCTGTTCTTGCTATAGGGAATAAACAAAATCGACTTGCCCTCATTGCATTCACTTGTCTGGAACACAAAGGGTGAATTTATGAGGAATATCCTGGGAATTTCTTTTACATAAAGGAATGTGGCTGTCAAGCTATACAAAATGACATAAAACTGTCATAAAATGAATCATTTGCTGTATTCCAGAACTTCAGAGAAACAGACTGGAATTTAAGTTGAACTTTAATTTTTGGTTGAGCTATTGCTTTAAGGGAACAACAGCTGAGCAATTTGTTCTGGAAAATAACATATGCTGCCTGCTACATGCAATGAATGAAGGAAAGTGGTTATTTAAAAGTGAGTTATTTCTGTATGTCATTTCTGACATAGCATACTATACATCTTTCATCCATTGGGTCCTCTTATAAAGACAGTTCCCCTAATATTTTTTTAATAAAACGTTTTGATAAAAATTCTATTCTGAGAATTTAAAAAAAATGTAATAGTTTGTGCATGCAACGGTTAAGAAGATGTGGTTTACAGTCTTCAGACCTTTAATGTTTCCCAAACACTTGGATGCCACTGACTTGCATGCCAAAGACAGAAGCTTCAGTTCCAGAGACAGATCAGTATGCAGCTCACACTCAGGTTCTCTAAAGTGATTCAGTTCCAAAACGAGTGCACGACTCACTGCACTAGGGAATTCCGCTCACTGCCGCCCGTGACGTCACTGCAAGCCTTGCATGGCTCCACATGCACAATGGGTGTTTCCCCACAATCACACGCATATTCTAACCAAGCAAAGATGCAGTTACGCTCACAGGTGTGATTAGTCGTTACTAAAATATTGAAATCCTGATACTGATACTTAACACTGAAAAGTGGGCAGGAATCGGTTAACAGTCAGTTCACTGGGACTTACCACACAAACCTCGACAGTCGTTGACACACAGTTCTCAGCGGTTAAACGCCCTGCGCGTGTCCTGATGGGTAGGTGAAAAGCGCAGCAAGGCGCGCGGATTGAAAAGCTTCAATCCTGGCATTTATTTTGTAACTACTTTCCGCTTCATTGTATGAGATCAACCTATCCTTTTAAGCAAACCTTATCAGATGTGGCTTTATTGGGCTTGCAAGGACTAGAACTAGGCCTAAACTAATAGCGTACAGAGATCTGTTCTTTTTTAATGTGTGCCTGAAACGTAATATTTCCATATGTGTCTGCTTCAAATTAAGGTAGTGTGGAAACTAATAGTTTTGTAGATGTCTCGTTAAATTGGAGTCAAGTACCACACAAAACTTTACCAGAGTTTGAATAACTGAAAACATGATCATTTTAAATCTTGTGCACAAATGTTATCAGATTCACTTTTAATTAATTGTCATACCCCATCACCATCCTTATTTAATTTTTTTATATATTTTACTTGAAGATGGGAAATATGCCAGAACAAATCAGCCTCTAAACTTGTGCTGATGTTATACATTAGATTTAGATTACACCAGTTCAGTTATTTAACTTTAATTAACATGATCATCACGAATTAAATTGAGACGCATGTGAAAGAATAATTACTTCAGAATGTGTTTTTTTTCCCTTCATGTTAATCATTTATAATTTTACATAGTGACAGCTTATGTGTGGACCTCATGAGGGAGGTGGTCATGTACACTGAACAAAATTATAAATGCAAGCACTTTCATGAGCTGAACTCAAAGATCTAAGACTTTTTCTATGTACACAAAAGGCCCATTACTCTCAAATATTGTTCACAAATCTGTCTAAATCTGTGTTAGTGAGCACTTCCCCTTTGCCGAGATAATCCATCCACCTCACAGGTGTGGCATATCAAGATGCTGATTAGACAGCATGAGTATTGCACAGGTGTCCCTTAGGCTGGCCACAATAAAAGGTCTAAAATGTACAGTTTTATCACACAGCACAATACCACAAGTTTTGAGGGAGCTTGCAATTGGCAATCGACCTGACTGCAGTTAATCGTTGTAACCGACTTGAGTGGTCAAATGCTCACATTCGATGGCGTCTGGCACTTTGGAGAGGTGCTCTCTTCACGGATAAATCCCGGTTTTCACTGTACAGGGCAGATGGCAGACGTCGTGTGGGTGAGCGGTTTGCTGGTGGCCTTTTATTGTGGCCAGCCTAAGGCACACCTGTGCAATAATCATGCTGTCTAATCAGCATCTTGATATGCCACACCTGTGAGGTGGATGGATTATCTTGGCAAAGGAGAAGTGCTCACTAACACAGATTTAGACAGATTTGTGAACAATATTTGAGAGAAATAGGCCTTTTGTGTACATAGAAAAAGTCTTAGATCTTTGAGTTCAGCTCATAAAAAATGGGGGCAAAAACAAAAATGTTGCATTTATAATTTTGTTCAGTCTATGATAGTGATTTCATTTCTAATTGGTTAAATTTATGGTGATATATCCATTACTGCAACATTCCCTGTTCTCCCCCAGGCTGAATTTACAAAGTTGAGTAGCTGTTTTAAATAAATGAAACAATCAAAATAATAACATCACAGAGGTTTCATAAACTTATAATAATATTACATATAATTTAGCCTTTATTTTTTTAATCATCTCGTACCAAAATAATTTAATTAGTCACTTGGAACCCAAAATTCACATTCTTTGCTGGAATCACTTTTCCCAAGGGTTGCCTACTTATAACATTTAGCCAAAATGAACTATCAATCCATCCATCCAGATTCTCCACGCAGCTTGTCCTAAATATGCTCATGGGAATTCTGAAGCCTATCCCAGCATTTTGGGCTAAAGACAGGGAAACACCCTAAACAGATGTCCTGTCCATACGAACAGGATATTTTCTTTATTTCAAAGTTATTCATTGGAGCAAGAAAAATTCTCCTGATCTGTAAAATATATACATCCATCTAAAACACGAATGAAGGGCCTCTTAGAGGGCTTTATTGTATACACATTGGGGAGACATGCTGTAATGCCCAGCAGAATATGCAGTGCCCTCATGCTTTCAATCCCTGTTTGTTTTTCCATTAAAAGGACAGTAGGTATTACTGTTTATTTTCTTTTAACACTTAAAAAGCCTCACCAAAACACAAAAAGTACTTCACAATTATTATTAGACTGCATGATAGATTTTGAAAAAGATAAAATAGAAAAAAACACAGGATGTATTGAGTTTGCATTGAATGCAGAATTGAATGATATTCACACCATCCTGTATTGCTGTTGTTAATAATTTAAAAGGCTACTGTACTGTTCTGTAACACAGATATGAAATAAATGTCCTTTTTTAGTTAACATCATTTACGTATTTATTCAGCTTACACTGTAAAACAGACTCACATAGGCTGTTAAATACTAAGTGTAAATTGTCAACCTGCTCTCTTTATTATCTCTTTTTAGAAGTAAAAGTCAAGAACCCATGGCACAGGCCAGCGTTCATCTTTCTGACTGCTTTTATCATCCTGGGGATCGTCATCATGGTGTCCATTTCTGTCGTCCAGAACAAACCTTTACCCAAGAAGTACAAGGTATGACTGACAATTTGAGTGAACCATTTACTGGTTGTTAATAATCAATCAGATTAGATTTGTACAGACTTCACTGATGCAGTGGTTCCTGTTCACTTGACAGTATGGAATAGTTCTGGATGCAGGCTCCTCGCACACCTCTGTATATATCTATGAATGGCCTGCCGAGAAGGAGAACAACACAGGCATGGTACGGCAGAAACACACCTGCAATGTAAAAGGTACATGATCCCTAATTTACTCTGCAGAGGCCAAGATCTGGATTGGATTTCAACTAAAACTGAAAGGAGGAATTGAATGCACTATGTGTGACTTTTTCTTCCGTGGAACAAAAAAATAGATATTTAGCAGATTGTCCAAGCTGCTCTTTTTCCATACAGTCACTGATTTTTATAAAAATAACAACTTGAATTTCAGCCTTTTCCTCACATAAAGCTATCATATGTCTTTCTGAAGTCTTGGAAAAAATATATATATAATAATTTATATATTTATGGTACTTTTTGTCCTTCCTAATGCTGCTTGGCAGCTCCTGGTCCCCATCCACTTTCATTGTAGCACAGTTTAGACAGTCTGCTAAACTTCTTCTTCGCTATTCCATGAAAGACAAAGCCAGGAGTTTAATTTACTATCCCTTTAGTAGTTTGTCAACACCACATAATTCCCAACAACATTTTGCATACTGTAGGCAAAGGCATCTCCAGTTACTATGATAATCCAGATGGGGCTGGCAAATCTCTGCAGGACTGCATGGTGGAGGCCCAGCAAAGAATACCTGCTCACAGACACGAAGAAACCCCTGTGTACCTGGGAGCCACAGCAGGCATGAGACTGCTCAAGTAATCACTTTTCAATATTCTCAATTCTCAAGAATAAAAAATGGAGTAGGGAGGTATAGAGAATAATTTGGAATAGAACTCTAAGTACTCAAACGATAGACTTATAAATCAATGATGAATTGTCTTTATTCTGTAATTATTCTACAGGTCAAATGTTTGAAATAATTAAAAAAAATTAAATGTTTTTGAAAAGTCTCTTATGCTCACCAAGGCTGCATTTATTTGATCAAAAATACCATAAAAACAATATTGTGATTTTTCTTTTTTTTTTCTTTTTTCTGTAATGGCAAAGCTGAATTTTCAGCATAATTACTCCAGTCTTCAGTGATCTTTCAGAAATAATTCTAATATGCTCATTTGGTGTTCAATTATTTCAATTATATATGTTTGTGTGTGGAAACCAGGATTATTTCATAAATACAAAGTAAAAAACAACAACATTCATTTGAAAATAAATGTTAAATATAGATTTTAAATTTTAAAACATGAATTCGAAAACAGTTATTTGATTTTGTAATAATATTCCATATTACTATTTTTACTGTATTTTTGATCAATGCAGCCTTGATGAGGATAAGAAACTTCTTTCAAAACCATTACAAATCTTAATTATTCCAAACTTTTGATTTTACTAAACAATTTTATTAAAGGGGTCATGACATGAGAAATCAATTTTGCCTTGATCTTTTGACATATAAGAGGTAGTTGTCCTATTAAAACATCCTGCAAGTTCCAGAGCTAAAAACTTTAAACAAAGCATTTACTTACAGTAATCAAGCTCCAAAAACAGCTTGTTTGGATATTGGGGGACTTGTGATGTCACACGAGCAAATGTATTTGCATAGGCCCGCCCCGTTCAGTCACTTGCCTACACCGGATGTGAGCGTCTTTTCAAAAGCAAATAGAACCCATTATAATCACTGTAACTGTCTACAGTGGATACAGTACACAGATGCACGTTCATTTTACTCTACGCGCTTCAGTCTGCCGACAAGAGGAAAAATGGAAAACTAAATAGAAGCCTAAAGAAACGTTCGCTTTGAAGCAGTCAACTGTATTGGATCCGACAGCAGCTGCATCACAAATCGAAAGTAAACCATTTCATAATGCTTTGTCTGTAAATTACGGTTTTATGTTTTCAAAACACTTTCTTGTGTGCAATAGAGAGTGGGCGTGGATACCGTTTCCTATGCAATTACATTAGCCAATCATAACAGTGGTCATTTACTGACAAGCCTTAAAGGGATAGTTCACCCCAAAATGAAAATTGTAATCATCTACTCACCCTCAAGTTGTACCAAACCTGTGTGAGTTTCATTCTTCTGTTGAACACAAAATAATATATTTTAAAGAATGTTGGTAACAGACAGTTGATGGTAAACATTTACTTCCATAATAGAAAAAAAAAAAAACTATGGAAGTCAATGACTACCATCAACTGTCTGTTACCAATATTCTTTAAAATATATTATTTTGTGTTTAACAAAATAAAGAAACTCATAAAGATTTGGAACAAAAAACTGACAGAGTGAGTAAATGATGACAGAATATTCATTTTTGGATGAACTATCAACTAAAGAGGCGGCCCTTAAAAACTGATCATTTCAGACAGGGGTCAGAATGAAGGTTGAAAATAATTGTTTTTCTACATATTATTTTGAGAGTTTATTTGCACAAAAAAACCCCAACACAAATATATAAGCGAACCTCAAGGAACATATTAAAATAATAATAAAAAATCTATGTCATGATTATTTAATTAATTGTTTAGAGATGAAGTTCAATAATATCTATTTTCTCAAGGATGGAGGATGAAACGGCCTCAGAAAAGGTACTGGCCTCGGTAGAACATTCACTGAAGACGTACCCCTTCTCCTACCAGGGAGCTCGCATCATTTCTGGCCAAGAGGAGGGAGCTTTTGGATGGATCACTGTCAATTACTTGAGCGAAAACCTAAATAAGGTATGCTGTTTTTTTCCGTCTGGGTTTAGCAACGTTTCAAATTTGTCAGTTTTAACCCACAGCTCCGCTCCACACAGAATTACAGTGCAGAATACCGTGTGAATTACTTCTCTACTATAAGAATGAACAGTGAAACAAACAATTTCAGTGTGAAAAGGAGAATGATGTCAGCTCCTGTGTTTCTCATGCAGCCCACAGGGACTCTTGGAGCTCTGGACCTGGGTGGCGCCTCTACTCAGATAACCTTCATACCTCAACAGGACATTGAATCGGATGACAATTCTATTGACTTTAGGCTGTATGGAAACGATTATCACCTGTACACCCACAGCTTTCTCTGTTACGGGAAGGACCAAGCTCTTAAGCTTTCTATGGGCAAGAAATTAGTGTCAACATATGCTGCTAGCAAGGTATGCTTGTCATTGCGATAGAAAAAGTGTGTCGAAGCCATAGCTGTGCGGGCTGTTCGCGGTCCTGTCCTAGTCCAATCTAAATAAATTTATATGTAAAGAAAAGGTGTAGACTTGCGTAAAACACCCCTATTGCATATTGTATAAAATTGAGTGTTGCATTAAGGCAATGTGTGTACAGTACCCTTTTAATGCATTTACTTTCCATACTTTATGATGCCTACATTGCAAAGCCATTAAAATATTTTACAGCAAACAAATTCAATTTGAGAGGGACAATGAAACATGTTGCTGCATTTTGGTTCTTTACTTTAGCTTTGGTTGAAGTTAACTATTGTTTGTTTTTTTAAAGTATAGATATAGACCACACTTCACTCTAATACTACTGTATCTCTATATTTTTTTCTTCCCTAAGACACACCCCATTGAGTTAAGGGATCCTTGCTTCAACCCTGGATATAACTCCACCAAGACGGTTCAAAGCGTCTTCAATACCCCTTGTATGAAAGCAGTGAACATTTCAAATGGAAATATCTCCCATGTGGGGTTGGGGGATTGGTCTCAGTGCCAAGAATCGATCAGAAAGGTTTTCAATACCAGCCGTTGTGCTTACTCAAAATGCTCTTTCAATGAGGTTTTCCAGCCTTCTGTTGATGGAAAATTTGGGGTAAGAAACAATGAAGATTGTTTGGATAAATTTGAATGGCTGGTTGCAAATAAAAAAAAAACTAGTGTTAATAATCATGCTATTTGATTTTCCAGGCTTTTTCTGCTTTTTTCTTTGTGATGGACTTTTTGAATCTGACCAGTGATTCATTAGCTGCTACAAAGCAGAAGCTGGCAACATACTGCTCTACTCCATGGAAAAAGGTTAAATGGTTTATTTACTGTCTTTGAAAGATGTTTTAAAACCGTTGCATTTTGTTGGGACAGGATGTCTAAATGTGAACTTGCTTGACTTTTATAGATTGTAGAAAATTATCCCCAAATAAAACAGAAGTACCTTTCAGAATACTGCTTCTCAGGAACATACATACTCACTCTTCTGGAAGACGGATACAATTTCACCTCTGAAAACTGGAAAGACATCCGTTTCATTAAAAAGGTAAGTATGGTGTAAATTAAAAATTATTTCAGTTCTCATCAAAGAATACGGTGGCCTCAAAGTATTTAGACACTTAAAGCTGCAGTAGGGAGTTTTGAGAAAACGTTGAGTTAGCCTGAAAATTTGAACAAGCACAACTTACAGGTCCCACCCCCTTGCTCTCTGCTGCGCTACAGCCCTCCCTCCACAGCTCGTCCTCCACAGCGGAGCCTGTCGTGAACGCGTAGGCTAGTAAACAGGGCCACCGATAAAAGCGGATAAAAAGTTATATGGCACATTCATTAATAGGGACTAAACATCAACAATATGCTTTACATTGACTATGGCCTGCCCATACTTTGACTACAAACTTGGTCCTCAAATCATTATGTATTTTGCAATAGCCTACATGTAACTTTATAACGTTGCACTCTTTCTATAAGTTATAAATAGCTAGTTAGATAACGTTTATATAACGGTAACTAACGTTACAGTATGTAAGTAATTATTCTAGCGATATATAATGCTAGATAAGGTGTGCTACATTATTTCAGCAACATGACAAGCCAGTGAATTAGCAGGTTTCAGTTGTTGCTTAGCAGAGTGCGTGACATTTTATCTACATGTTATGCGGCTAGAGTTTTGACACCGAGTCAACGGGCTCTGTGTAATTCTTTCTTTTTCGCTTGTTTATCGTCATCGGTCTTTTTCCTTTTACCTCTTTGTTTTATGAGCAGGTGTCACTCGAGAATTGGCAGTTTAGGTTGTTTCTCCGTCATAAACACAGCTGCAGCACGCCGGCAATCTTGAGTTTGAACGACGGCTCGCGCTGTGCAAGAGAGGGGTGTGATCAGCGCGTACACGAGCGTGATTGACACTGCTAAGACATTCCTCCTGGCTCTGATTGGTTGTTTCTGACCGGGAGCGTGTATTTCTGCAAATGGCAATAGGACCACTGGGAGGAGCCAGAAGAGCTTGATTTTTTCACAGATTATCTGCCTCATATTCTACTGTCAGGACATAATGACAGTTTTAACAAATATGTAAAAAATATTTTTTACAAAAATTACCTACAGCAGCTTTAAGACACATTCAAAATCTATTTTCAAAACATTTTAATGTAGGTTTAGGTACAAATTAAAATCAGTTTAATACTTTTAATATTGAATCCCTTTTATTTTTACAATAAAAAATCGTTTCGGGGCCACACATTGTGTCATAACCGCTTTCTTTTTTTGCAGATAAGAGACAGTGATGCAGGCTGGACATTAGGTTACATGCTTAACCTGACCAACATGATCCCCGCTGAAGCTCCAGACACTCGCCTGATGCCTTATGGGGGATATGTCACATTTATGCTCCTCTTCACACTTTTTATACTTGTTCTCCTTCTTCTGGCTTACATGTACTTCCGTCAGTCCACTAGAAAAGCCCAGAAAGGCATAATTTAGATGGATATTTTGCTGTGGTCTCTTAATACTGAATGTTTATTTCTGCAGAGAAAAAAAATCATGTTTTGAATTATCTAAATGTTCTTACATTTCAAAGAATTTGGACACCATACCTCATGTGAAGGATAAACAGGTTTTGTGAGAGAGAAGTTCCACTGCAACTCTATTCCCATTTGTGGTTTTTGTGTCCAAATAAAAGTTTTCTTAAAAAAATCAAGTCATAAGTACAGGTTTTAGTTTTTGGGGAACTGGATGAAAGGGTTGCTGAGCTTTCTTAAAAGGAAAAGTGCACTGACATTCAATTTATTGTGTACCTTTAGTCTGTGTGAAAGTTCTCCCAATTTATAGAAAAGCACATATCTTCTTGATGCCAGTATCTTTTACTTGTTATAAAGCAATGTCTGTGAGATCAAAGGTCTCTCGTTGTAAACCTTCTTTTGCATAATGGTCATATGAATATCACTGGATATCATTGTTTAAGCATTGTTTTCGGCATAGCACTTTTTTTTTACGAATTGCAAAATGGAGAGACATTTTGCTAGGTCTGTCATTGCATGTTTTTTATTTTTGCTGTTTCTTATTTTTTATTGCAATGTTTTTTATATATATATATATATATATAAATAGTTTTTACATACAATGATGGAGGAGAAGTAATCTTTTGTGCTAAAAACATTTGTTCATGTCTGCTTCTGTAAGCCACATTCTGTATATGAATTCCCTGTGTATTGCCCTGAAGTGATATGTAAAATTATGTGAGATTTTGTTTTTTTATATTTAAACAATACCTGTAGCAAATTTCTATTAAATTTACAAATGACGGATTGTGTATATATTTTATTTATAATCACATATAATTTTAATAAATGTAAATATATAATTTATTTAAAAATAACAGCATTTATATATATATATATATATATATATATAGTAACATTATAAATTACGTACTACTTTTGATCAAATTAATATCCTTGGTGATTAATAGTATTAAAAAATAAAATCTTACTGATCCCCATATATAATTTTTTTCTTCAGATAAATATGCTACAATATACATAGGATATACATTCATTCTTTATTATTGCTAATGAGAAGTAACAAAAATCCTCCTTACAAAGGTTTACATTAAGCCTTAATTCCACAGGAATATTTGAACCAAGTATTGCCACTGATATAATGTAAGACAATAATCTGAAGAATCCGTGGGTATAGCCTATTATATGTGAGGCCATAACACTGTCAAATACATATGCAGAGTATATAGAACCAATTTGAGAATACAGCTCATATCAGGAGTACTATTTTATGCTGAAGAGTGTGATGATGTGTCAGCAGTGAAGATACTGGCAATATACAAACATTAAACATATGAAGTAACAATGAAATGTTCAAATCTAGACTCACAGCTGTGCTTAAAAATGACAGGTGAACCAATCAAACTTTGCATAGAATTGTTCAATATCTTCTATATCTATAACACCCTTCTTTGAGGATCTGTACCAACTATTTCATCCCTCTAAGCAGTGATTGCCATTCAATTTGATGTGCAATACATCTAAATTTTAATCACAAATGTGGAAGACTGGTGCCCATACGATGCTTATGGGATGAATAAAATGCTGAGTCAGTGGACACTGGGAGTAGTTTTGGCATTGCATTTCTTGGCCTCTCTTGGCCTGATGTGAAGCATCTCTGAATGTTTGTCTCTGGCGCACTCTTGTGGCTCTTCTCGCTTGTGCAGCATTGATCGTAAGTGTGGCAGGCACTGGTCCCAATCCTCGGGCAGCAAGAGCAAAAGGAAGCCCAAACAAATGATGGACACCGCAATGACGCGTACACTGTTGAGCTGGATCTCACACATGTAGCGATCTATGACTGGAGTGCAGAAGATTTATGGTGGTCACTCTGTTATTACTTCAAAACGTTTTAATAATTCAAAAACAAAGATGCTAATGTAATCAGGGATATTTGGAAAACATGTCAACTATATGCAATTTCTAGTCAATTTTAAACTTTTCAAAAGCTTGGGGTCGGTAAGATTTCTTTTTGGGATGCATTCAATTGATCAAAAGTGACAGTAACATATTTATAATGCTACAAAAGATTTCAGTTTCAAATAAATGCTGTTATTTAGATTTTTCTATTAATCAAAGAATCATGAAAAAACACTTATCACGGTTTCTACAAAAGTATTAAGCAGCACAACTGTTTCTTGAGGAGCAAATCAGCATTGGAATGATTTCTGAAGGATCATGTGACACCGGACACTGCAGTAATGATGCTGAAAATTTTTAAACACATCAAAATAGAGACAGTTATTTTAAATTAATAATAATATTTCACAATGTTACTGTTTCACTGTATTTTTGATCAAATAAATGCAGCCTTGTTGAGCATAAAATACGAAAGAAATGTACTGACATCAAACTAAACTAATTTACTCAGCCTCATGTTTGCCAAGCTTGCTTTCCTCGTGAAACCCAAAAGGATTTTTTTTTAACAGAATGTTGACGCTGTATTAAAAAAAAAAAAAAAAGTAATCCATAAGAGCTATATTCACATTCCTTATATGGAAAAACGCAGCGACATTCCACTAAAAATCCTCATACAGGTCTGACATGAGACCGAGTAAAAGATGATTTATTTTTAAACATATTCAAATTGCAAAAATTAGTTTTTAAAGCAGAGATTTTCAGAAAAACAAATTAAATTTCAATAAATATTAATATTTTTATATTTATATTACATGCTGTTATATTTTTCATTATTTTGGGGGCTTTTTTGTCAATATTTACTTTCAATGTATTGAAAAGAGCAGAGTTAACATACTGTCTTAGCATCTCCTTTTGTGGATTACAGAAGAAATAATAAAACAAATTTGTAAGAACATAACAGTATAACTCATTTTAAAAACAACAAGTGACTCACCAGCGTTGACAGGCACACTGAGGACAACGCCCAGAGAAATCAAAGTAGGAAGTGTTACCAGAACACCAAAATTCAAGAGGAAGTTGAACACTAAGAAGGCAACCAAAGAAAAATCAACATTGCTAATAATTTTAAGGGAAGATGGCGATTCAAGTACATAAGAGAAGCTTGTGTATTTGTGTCCATCATCTTACCCAGCAGAAGAGCGGACATGCCACAGATGCTTGGCCATGGCAAATCTCTAGGTGAAACAAAGTCCTCGGCCCCCGTGAGAAGCAGGATCAGAGGTACAGCGCTAATGAAGACCAAATTAGCTCCGCCGAGGACTGTAAGATACACTGCTGCTTCACCCAGCTTTGCATTACCCAGAACAAGCTTGAACAGAACCTGAGGAAACATGTGCATTCATGCATTTCTGTACAGCTGAAGAGAGAATGAAATAATTAAATGTTCATTTGAAATATAGGTCAATGGTGTATGACAGTCTAAGGTGTGTTTGTTGTGCTACAGTATATAATCCTCTCTTACTTTGTATATAGCTGCTGTTGATGCAGACGCAACCACAAGGGAGATGCCAATCACAGAATGGCTGTGGAAACCATCGGCATATGTCATCATAACTATGCCCCCAATGGCTAAAATGGCCGCTACAATCTGTGATCAGACAGAACACTATTTTAACAAAGTACATTATAATAAAAAGGAGAATCCACAGTAGACTCTCAATTACACACAACAGTATAGCCACTATTAAAGCATTTTATACAACAATTGATACATAATAGACTCACCCGCACCCCCATGAAGCGATCCCGCAGGACAATCCAGGATATTAGGAAGACAAAGGCACGGCTACAGCAGAAGAGGGCACAGGCATCTGTGGCGGGGATTCTGCGAAGGCCTTGCAGGTACAGGTAGCTGGTGAGAGTCCACAGCACTCCAAAAGGAGCCACGCGAGAGAGCAGCATTCTCAGTGACAGCCCGTCATCTCCCAAGAACTGACAACACTCTCTATTGAGAATCCACACACATGCAAATAATCTATCTACCATCATTTATCATTCTACCATTTACAATATGCATTTTTGTAGCATAGATTGCCAATTGTTTGGGCACACCTGACTGTTCTTGATTGTAAAAATGTTCAATCTAAAATCTTATGCTTAATTGCTAAAATAAAATGACCAATTCAGCAAGGATGCATTAAAAATTGATTAAAAGTGAGAGCAAAGACATTTATAATGTTACAAATGATTTCTATTTCAAATAAAGGCTTTTTTTTTTTTTTTTTTACTTTCTATACATCAAAGAAAACACAAATATATTAAGCAGTAAAATTGTTTTCAACCATGATAATAATAATAAATGTTTCTTGGGCTCCAAATCAGCATATTAGAGTGTTTTGTTTTTTATTATCGTCATTCCATCTAATCACAGCTATTTCAAATTGTAATAATGTAATACTATATTACGGTTTTTACTGTATTTTTGATAAATAAATTCAACACTGGTAAGCATAAGAGACTTCTTTCAAAAACATAAAAATATCTTACTAATACTAATGTGTAATATTAATCAACATTAGGCAAGCAAAGTCATTTCAGAGGTGGAGAAAGTAATTGCATTTTTAAGATTACAAAGACAAACATTTTTTCTTGCACTGATGTACACAATAAGATGTGCACATTGAGAACATTTTAATAAATAGATTTTGACTTCATGAAGAAGAACTAGTAAAACATATCCAATTTAGATACACATGAGGGAAACCCTGTTTGTGTTAAATTACACCTACTTCCAAAAGTGCTGCTCAGTACAAAAGACTAAACCTTTAGAAAAATCTGCTGTGCTGAACTCATGAAAAGGACAAAAATGCCATGGGACATTGTTAAGAAAATGAGGTTAAGGTCAAGTCCTCTATCTGAGCAGCCTAGCCCAACAGAACTGCAAAGTCAACAGTCACTCTGGTTCTGCAAGCCAAATTGAAGTGTCTGCATAAATCCAAACTATTACACAGTGCAGCACTTTTGCAAAGAGTTCTCATTTTGAAACTCAGTGAAGTTTCGTAGGCCACAGAATCAGAAAGATCTACTTGCATGAAAGGAAACACAACCCGTCTCACCTGAAGCGCTGTTTGGGGCTCTGTCTGTCCTTGCTACAGCACAGGTGACCCAGGTAGTAAAGAGGGAAGATGGCACAGTTCCAGGAGGTGGAGAACCAAGTGAGGGTGAACGGGACATTCAAGCGTCTGACGGTTATTTTGGCCAACTGAGTGCAGCCTGTCCAAGACGCGCAGATGCAGATGACCATAGCGACACCCCACAGTGCTCTGCGCAGGAGGACTGCAGTCGTACACAAACAGCAGCGGAGCCTCTGCAGCCTGTTCACACAACCTGATTTGACTGTTTCTGTAGCCGAATGGCCATCTACCTTCACTTCCACCTTCTCGCCGCCGGACTGGTCCTCCTCTGCAGACAGACAGCATAATTGCATAATACAAAGTCATAAGAATAGCCACAGGCATTTAACTGTACTGCCAACTCTTTTCTTTCAGCAGTAAACTTTCATGAAGTACTATAGGAGAAATTTGCATAACAAAGCTGATGCTTACTACAAAGCAGCAAATAAATGATATATAATAATGTAATTTCTGAACAACTCAAATCAAGTAA